ATAATAATATATTCAGTGTAATCTTATAAATAAAATTTAAAGAGAATAACATGTAAGAATACCTTATTTCTATCTTTGTAAGATAGAGAAACTTTCTCTAACAGACTCACTATTCTAAAATAATGAAATCTAAACAAAATTAAAAAGAAAATAATTTTGTAATTTTGTGCTAGTTGGATGACACTTGCCGTATAATTACATTTTTCTAATTATACATAATTTATTTTGGTAAGACGACAAAAGGGAAGACTCCTTTTGCCTACTTCACTTAGAATAAAAATAATGAATTACAAGACAAATATAGATATGTGGTATCTAAATAGTCAAAGTATTTGTTGATTGAAATGTTTAAAAATTAAAATAGCAATAAGGTTCAATATATTCAAAGGAGGATTAATTGATTAAAGACTTGATGTGATTAACTTTATAAGTTAGTACATCCATTTGGCTTAATGGAACCAAGATTAATGTTTATGAAAGTGACATCCAATGTGGTCACAAACTAATTAAGCTTTGGAGTTTATTATTTTTAGTTTATAAATTGTTTGGATAATTTTATTGAGTAGGTGAATTGTGATAAGATAGTGATTGTTATATTTAATTGCTAATTATCTAATTTAATTTGTTTCATCTTCCCTTCCTTTTTCTATCAAATATCATTGATATATTTTTTTATTATAATAAATTTAGTGTTCGTTTGGTTATCAGAATAAGAATATTGATCCCCATATAATAATAAGAACTATCATATTCTATATATGGCTACAAATATTAGCTAATATTGATAAAGTTTATATCGTTTTAGAATTATTTATCTTACATAGAATATATGATGGTATTTTTATTATAATATAGAGTTCCTAATTCATAGACTTAGAAGATTATCTTATACATTTGTTCAAAATTGTCTTGGAAATTAATGATTGTGTTGTTTGTTTAAATTTGATTGTTATGACCTTTATCACTAAATTAATTGTTTCTTTGTTGATAATTAATCTTGTAGAATATATTGCAACAATGCCACATTTTCCTCCAATATAAGTACATCGTTTTCTTACTAAATCCCCATTAAATTAAGTTTAGACTAACACAACAAATAAGGGCAGCATTATTAATTTGTAGTAGGTGTTGATGTGTGTATGTCTTTTAATATTTATTGACGTTTTTAGAGAATTTATAACTTGTTAATCATTGATATCTCATGTATTTTAGTTTGTATAATCCTCTTAAATTGTTGTTTGTACTCTCTCAATAAAACAAATGGCTTTACTTTTACATTTTACAATTGCAGGTTCATCTGAACCCTCTACTTTCGACACAAAATATAAATTTAATTAATCCAACAAACAATGTATGCTTGCTTATAGTAATGAAAGAGTTATCCAAAATATTTTTCATATATATATTTTTTGTTTTGTTTTGCTAAGGGCTTGTTTGGAAGGATACCCTGATAATTTGATTTGGTGTAATTGTATGTAATTACATTATTTGTCATGTTTGGTTGAACACCTAATTACTTGGTCAACAGGTAATTGATGTAATTGGCATGAGGTAATTACACTTTCCAATTCACAGTCAGAGGCTGTGAATTACTGGTAATTACCCGTAGATTACTTCTCTTTTTTTTTTTAATTTCTATTATTATTTTTGTTTTATTTTTTTACTTTTATTATTTAAGTTCTTTTTTATTTTTATTATATATTCTAAAAGTTTGTTTTTTATTTTTTATTTTTATATTATATTTTCTTCTCCTTCTCAGCCTTACTTCATGTGATTGTCTATTTATTTATGTCACTCTTATTTTCTCATTAGCATAATTCTATTAATATTCTAACTTTTAAATTAAAATAAAATTTATTTTTAAGTAAGGTTATAGACTTACATTTTTTTAAAAAAATAATAATAAAAATAAATCATATTTATGTATGCTATATTGAAATTTGTAATACGGATATTATGTTAGATTTTTTGTTTTGAATTTGTAACTTATGTCATATTTTTAATTTTATTTGTTTTAGTAATATTGAAACTCACATTGCAAGTCATTTTTTAATTAGACCTGATAAATTATCTGTTTGTCAAACATTTTAATTATTTATAATATTTTATTTATATATTAACTTTTTTTATCAGACATGCATTTCATAATGTTAGTAGAAACTTCACACTTTTAGTTTTTGTGATTAATTCAATTGAAATTTATTAATTTGAAAAAATATAAATCAATTATTTTTTCATAATATTAGCGAATAACACATTTTTATAATTAATCTATTTTCAGAAAATAATATATATCTTAAATATTTAATTTAATATCATTTAAATAGTTTCTTATTTTGTCTAATATAAATTTTAAATAATTTATTTTTATTTTTAAAAAATCAATATAATATTATGATTGTTATTATACACCCAAACAGAAAATGTATAATTACTTTATGTCATCCAAACATGACGTGTGTAATTATAATGTAATTACAACATGACAATCAAATAGGTCAGTATAATTATTAGACTGTGTAATTATTAAATTAGAAATTACTATCCTAATAATTACACAAATTTCAATTACCATTTATACCAATTTTGCCAATCATACGACTAGGCCCAACTATTCCCCTCTCCCAAAAAGCCCAAATAAAATCAGCCCATAGCTACCTTGAGGCCTTCCCCCAAAATACCATTTTATCGTATCTAACGCTTGTAATAATTTATAAAAACATGAAGTAGATCGACAGTTATTGAGTTTCGATTTTCATTTGTCCTACGAGTAAACCTTATAGATAAAAAAAATAAAAATTTTGTCCTTAAAACAAAGCAACGTTAAAAATCGATGACCACCGACTTTAAAGGGTATTATTGTAAATCACACCAATCCAAAACCCATATTTGACATTGGAGATTTGTGTATATCAGACTTTACTCGTGACCACAATTAATTAACTCCCAATCTCAGTTCAGGTTTGCCAAATGTTGTTCAATTTCTGACTTTTGGCCTCTCAACTTTTATCACAAAATAAATAAATTTATAAAATAAAATAAAATCTTCGTTTATAATGTACAATGTTTGAAATTAATATCAATTAATACGATACAATAATTTCAATATACGTAATATGAAACAAAAATAGCTTAAACAAATCACAAATAACTTATATCGCTAAACAATAAGAATATTTAACTAAATCCTATGAATATATTAGATTTAGGGATTATTAAATGTTTAATTCATATGGTATTTTATGACTAGGAATGTTTTCAGGCAGTAATTAAATTGAAGTATTAATTACAATAAATATAGTTGTAAAATATCAGGCATTGGGTTCATTAATCGATGTGACTAAATTTTCTGAACTCCAACTGCTACTTTAATAGCAGTGTTAATTAATGAATTAATTTTCATAACGTTTCCAATAAACTAAAGTATTGAAAATGATGTATTTGAATATATAATAAGTATTCACATTGACAATAAATGAATTACTTTTATTTGTTCAATATATTAAAAATAATTATTCAATTTAGAATATTAAGAAATAATTTAATCATTTCATTGCGTCTAATTCTTTATCAATATTTATAATTAACAGAGATAGTATAATAAAATTATCTTTTTTATTTATTGTTTCTTACTAAGAAGCATTTCAAATCAAATAAGTAAATAAAAACAAAAGAAAGGAGTATAAGTAATTTATAAGCTTACGGTAAACCTATCTTTTAAATAAATCAATAAATGTTAAATATAGAATAATTATCGAGCAACTTTTATATATAGCAAATATAAAAATCATATTTATGCATTATAGATATAGTTTGCATAATTGCCGCGGCATAAGTTATGGAGTTTTTGATTTGTATAATCCGTTAGATTCATCCAATTTTATACAAATTATTTAGTTTTGTATTAATTCAGTTATACATTGTAATTTGTATGATAAGATCTGTATCTGTATAATCAGAAGTATATATGACAAAAATATATGTATTTGTAATTGTACATACACTTTTCTCTCGCTGTATACAACCACAAATACATTTCAAATATTTATAAACCAGATATATAATTGTATACCGAACCAAATGACAAAAAAATAAAATAATTATTGCGAATTACAAATAAAATAAATTATAACTATATTATTTAATTTGAATTAATTGATTTGCTATTTCATACTACAAATTTTCCATATTTGATAACACACACAAAAAAAAAATACTAAAGGGAATAGATGCATATGCACACCATACTTCATTAGTTATGATATCAGATAATTAATTTCTTATCTTATCAAAGTGCAAATTGGCATATAGTAATAAATAAAAGAGAAATAGCAAGTCATATACATTATGGATGAAATGGAAAAGACAGTTACACTTGAATTACCTCTACATTTATAGTTTGTTTGTCGAGATTCTTTAAAAATATTGATAGATAGAGTATTTATATTTAACTCTTCAAAAATATCAAAAAATATGTAACAAACTAATAATGCATGTATTTTTGGAGGGTCTATAACTCTTGAATTGGATTTAGTTTCGTTTACTTCTAAATTTCATTTATAGTTAAACGTAATATATTTGTAATAAAAAAATATTCGAAACGCAAGTTCATATATATATATATATATATATATATATATATATATATATAGGTGGTCACTATAGTCACAGCCTAGTTACTGGAAAATGTAGGTAACTATAATTATTAGTATTATTAATCTATTTTTACTTGTCCAGTATTATTTGTTAACACATAGTTTTTATACGAAAAGAAAGAGAGAGGATAATTTTACTATATTAACTTTGAGTATAATAACTTAAATTCAACATTTTATAAAAGGAATAATCTTGATATTAAAATAAAATAAATATAAAATAATAAATTATCTCTTAATTTTCCGCAATAAAATAAAAAAATTGATTCCTTTGAATGACAAGTACGTGTTAGAAGAAGCCCATAAATCCACTAGCTCTTATACCAATATATGTATCATAAAACTTTTTTTCACTATAAATTCCCCTATCCCTCCTCTATACATTTTGTACCATCAATCTAATTTTGGATTTTTACAAGGAGTAGTAACTCTACTTTTGTCTCTCTATTTTTTTATTTTAAAAATTTCCATGTTAAGTTTTAATGTCTTGCTTTAAAAATTTCCATATTAAGCTTTAATTTTTTACTTCAACAATTTCCATTTAAGTTTTAATTCTACCTTATGTGTCATATATATGGTTCATATATATATATTTTTTTTGCAGAAATACATTCAAATTGTTGAAATATTCAATGGAAATGAAGAGCTTTTTCATATTCTCTGTGGTTTTGTTGCTTGTCTCATTCTCTGGTATATTCATAATTTGTTCTCATATTTTCTTCTTCTTTCGACAACAACAATAACGTATTCAATATAATTTTACAAGTTATGTCTGAGGTGAATATGATGTATAAACACTACAAAAGAAACTGTGAATTACATAGGGATTTTTCTATGGATTAGTATAAAAATTTGCAAAAAAATTAGTTTTCTGTAAATTTTTATACTAATCCCTAGGAGAATTTCCATGTAATTTTAACAGTTTTCTTTAGTGCGTAGATTATACATTTATTACTGTGAATAGCGGGATTCTGGTAGATCGTCGATTCAAAAGAAGTGTAATCAAATATCATTATAATATATCCTTCTTATACATGCAAATAGTTTTGAAGTTTTGTATAGTGTTAATTTCATAATTTATATATGAATGTTGGTTTGGGCTGCATGTAAGCAGACCAACACATTATTTTCAGGGGAAATAAATTTACAAATTATGTTTACTAAATTTAATCTACTTGCATGTATATATATAGCTAACTTGCTTCTATTATGATTATTATAGTCTCTTTAGTTTTTGTAATTTCTTATATTATAATTCAAATTATAGGAATTAGGATAAGATGGATTTCAATACCTTTTATGTAATCCGTGCATAGTGAGAACTTAGTGTATCTGACTCTGATCTTTTATCTTTTGATTGTGCAGTTATACACATTAATCATGCTAATGGTGCTGATTTTATAAACTACATTGTCAATCCTGCTAGGAAGTTACTAGACCTACCTGGTAATTCTATATATAGTGTTCGATTGATCACTCTTCACGTGCACTTTCTTTGTTAAAAATTTAATGATTCCATTTTCTTCGTTTATATAGATATTGGTGATGATGCTGGTGATGGTATAGGAAATATTGGTGATGGTAATTTCTTTGGTGGCGGTGATGGTGATGGTACTGGTGGCTTTATAGGTAATGTTGGTGATGGTAATGGTGGCGATGGTAATAGTACTGGTGGTGATGGATCAGAAAACAGAATAGGTGAAGGTACATGTTCAAATAACTTCATTCAAGTGAACCAAGGTCCATCAGCATCACTTCCTAGTGGTATTCCAACTTACACTGTAATCGTGTTAAACGCGTGTTACTCAGGGAGTTGTAGTATTTCCAACATTCACTTGAGTTGTGGTTGGTTCAGTTCAGCTAGGCTTATTAATCCGAGGATTTTTAGAAGATTGAACTATAACGACTGCCTTGTTAACGATGGACAGCCCCTCGCTGCTGGAGAATCACTCACTTTCTCATATGCAAATACGTATCCTTATAAACTTGCTGTTTCTTCCATTGTCTGTTAAGTTAGATGGACTGTGTACTGTAAAAATCTAGCTTCTTTTGGTATGTTATAGCAGTGTTAACTTGTCTATGGTGTAGTGTTAACTTGTCTATGGTGTTGCTAGTATCTTAATGGTGTAATGCAAACAATATGTATTTCTATATCTTAGTACAATTGTCTTTTGTAGTGTCTCATCTACTCTATTTGGGATGTTGTAAAGTTGTGTTTGTATGACCTATATCGCAAATGTATATATTGATTATGTTGAGAAGAAGCTATAACTATACATCAATCTAAAACTATTGTTGTCGACTATTGTTAAGATATGATGACCTGAGTTCAACTAAACTCCAAACACTAGCTCATGAGGGAAGATCTGTTCAAGTCTATATCTAGAGACCAAATTCCTATCCCTTTATCGATTTTGGACATTTAACTCTTCCCGCGCGTCCGTATCTCAATTTGTGTGTGAACACTTTTAAATGGAGCCACATCATTGGTGAACAACAAATTGATACGGGTTTGGCTGTGTTACCATGTTAAGATACGATATATGAGCCTAGCTCAACCCTAAAAACGCTCGTGAGGAAAGTTTTATCCAAGTCCATTCAAAGAAGACCAAATTTTCATTCCTCTACCGCCGAAACGAGACATTTAACTATATATGATCATGTCTTTCATTTATGCACATCAATAACATAATATTAAAACAAAATCAAAATTTGATCCTTTCTATATTATATAAGGGAACATAACATATCAAACACTGAATAATCAAGAAATAACAGACAGAACACAATAAGTTGAAAGGAAATATATTACTAACTAAATTCAAGCATAAACATAAAAGAAACTAGTTTTCGCGCAATTTTACTAATTCTACGCGATAGCAACTGCCTCACACCATATCAGATAACCGTATCCACCCAAGGAAAATTCCTCTTTATACATGAACATAATTGAAATCTAATAGTTATAATCATAACTAAAATCAGTAACACCAACCATAGCAGACACCACTTGAGAAACAATATAAACACTGCCACCCATAATAGTCAAAATCAAAATTGCAGAAATGGGGTTCTTCAAAAGTTCATAAATAGGCTGAAAAACAGCCCAAAGAACACCAGTACTAACTGTCAATGCATAAAGACCATATCTTCTCATATTATCCCAAAATTCCTCCATTAATGGACCTTCAGGACCCAAAGCTAATGCCTGATTTTTATCATCAAAACCCATCAAAAACAACACTACACCAAAAGAAACAGCTCCCAACACCAAAAGATTTGATCTTTCCTTTGAAATTTCACTTCTTGATAATTTCTTAAATTTGGGCAAAATTTCTAGAGATAATGGTTTCACTATGCTTCTTTTTTCTGAAGCTAACTGGTTAATTTCTCTTTTCCCATATGGGATTCTTGGATTTTTAATGGGTGATTTGTGCTTGAGTTGAATGAGTAATGGAAGATTAGATTGTTGAAAATGGAGTTGAAGTTTCATTTTTTTTTGAGAGAGAGATAGAGCAATGAAAGGTTGTGATTTCAAGTTTGTTTCAATTTTTGCAATTTATACCTTTATCTTCTTCTCTTTATTATATCTTATGAAAATGGGCTTTTCTGATTAATTTCAAGGCCCAAATATATACATCTTTGTAGGACTAGCACATATTGTCAAAACTCATAAGAGAGAAAAATGAGATATTTGCACAAAAAGTTTGGACAAATTTATGTTTACTATTACAATCTAGTATATATAGGTTATATATAATCATACAAATACTATACATGTAGTTAAGGGTCAGTTTAGCCATGCAATATGATATTAATGAAATCATCAGATGAAATTTAAGTTTTGTTTGGACATGCGATATGAAGTTTTTGTGTTGTATATTTTCTCATAGACATAAAAATGTCATAAGTTCTAAAACTATCAAAATAGCCTCAATTATTTATTCAATCTTATCAATAAGACAAAAAAAATCATAAAATCGCATAATAAATTATTACAAAGATATTTGTTCTCCACTTAAGTAATTGTTTCAATCTAACTTTCACTTTTCATCAATATATTTGAGTAAAAATGGGACACCTTTCACGGGTTCTTCAAGATTTATCACTCAACAATCGTGAAACGTGAGTTAAAGTGACTCTATGTTGGTGAGAACAATAAATATTATATCGGTGAGAATAATGACTTTAAAAAGTAATGATGTGATTATAAATTTTATTTATAGGTGAAATAAATGGTTACTAGATATAATTGTGAGGTTATTTTAATATAATATAAACTTGTGAATCAATTTTTACATTAAAATATCTCAAATATATGATATGGTATTCCTATATGATTTCATATCATGGTTGTTGAAGAATATGGAGTCACATATCAGGTTTAAGTCATACACAGTCCCTTAAAGTTGTCATAATATTTTATTTAGCCACCCAAATTCAATCTTTTTCCTATTGAACACCTATACTATAGTAAATTTGTACATAATAGATATTTTTTGCTGACATGACACTATATGTGTAATACACACACCTAAAGAGTGTGGAAGACATCATTTACTTAAAAAGAAGAAGATGTTTTTAATAATAAAATTAAAGTAATATCTCCTCCTCTTCTTTGACTCAACTTAACCACCATTGCTATCAACTTTCCTCCATCACCATTCTTTCTCCGGTCATTTTTTTCATCTTTTATTTTTCAAGTCATCGTTTTCTTCCCCTTCTTTTACCACCATCACCGACATCACAAATATTTAAATATATTGTGATAAGAAATAGAATCAAAAACAATTTTGAGGAAACTCCATTTTTTCTGACGAATCTGAAATTATTTTTTTCAAAATCGTTACGTTAAGAAATTTAAATCCTAAAGAACTCACAACATAGAAGAAAAAAAGTATCAACAAATCTAAATTAATATTTAAGATAGTAGTGAGATTAGGAGAAATATCAATTATAATAATGAGTAAGATTCAAGGAGAAGGATAGGGTGGATGGATGGAAAACAAATTCATAAAATTTTGAATTGAAAGGAAAAAGAGTCAAATTCAAAATTACTATCGAAATGCTTCGATTTTGTGTCTCGTGCTGAGGGGAAATGGTGAACGGATGTCAGAGGGAGGGATGTTCTGGGAAGAAGAAGAAGAAGAAAAGGGGAAAGAAATATTTTCTTTTACTTATTTTTTTTAGTGAAAACATAATTTTTGTTTATTTTATTTTTTTAATTTATGTTTAAGTGTTTTTATGGGCCTAATGCCACATATCTCTTTTTTATTAGCTATTATGTCACGTCAGCAGCGAGTGTAGGACACTTTGCTCTTTACTTTTAATTAATTGTTAAAATATGTTCAATAGGTATTTTTTTAAATAAAAAAAATGTTCAATTGGAACAAACTTAAAAATAAGTGTCTAAATGAAATATGTGGAGAACTTTAGGTGGCTATAGATGACTTAAGCCCATATATAATGAGATGGAATCAACGTAAAATCACATATCCAAACACTAATTACATCTCATAATACCATATCGTAATGGTATCGCATGACCAAATGCATACTTAGTTGAGTGAACTGACTGTTTAAGTTAGTTCTTAAAAAATGAAGCACTTGATCAAAAGTCTAATTTTTTTTTTACAATTTGATATTAGGTAAGTTATGCCTCTGTGCTAGTAAATTGAAGTCTATCATATATGTTTTTTTGTATTAATCAAATTACTCAATTTAAACTTAAATTTTCTTAGTTTCAAAGTATTTGATCTATGTTGACTTGATACATTTTAAATATATTTTTGTTAGAAGTTTATTTTATTAAACTTATCTTATTAATGATACTTTGAAATTGTTAATTTGACTATTACTACTTGAGAGTTATTTAATTCTAGAGAGTAAAAATATGATAAAATTATTTTATTTCTTTAAATTGGACAAAAGAAATATTTTTATTATAGGCCAAATTAGGGCTGTGCAAAAAAACGGCTAAAACCATTAACCCGAACCAATTTTCGATTTATTGGGTTAACGGGTCGGGCTACTGGGTAATTGGGTCGGGGACCGGTTCACTAATTCTTTTAATTGGATTAACGGTTCGGATGACGGGTTTGGAAAGGAAATATCCCGGGTCACCCGATTACCCGACTATTTCCCCCTATTTTTTAATTTTCTAATTCACAATTAGGTTACAAAGTAGAAAGTCTAGAAACCTTCTCCTTCTGCTTCCGCCACTCTCCAGTCTCCAGTCTCCAGTCTCCAATTTCCAAACTCCGGTGAGGCGAGGACGGAACTCGACTAACCAACGAGTTACTCAAGCGTCCGGCGAGGCGACAACTAGGGATGCATATCGGTCTCACAAGGTAACGACTAACAATGGCATCTCAGTCCTCAAGAGTCAAGCTTTAATTTCTGTATTCGTTGATTTCGTTCCATTTATCATCATTTCATGACCTTTTTCTGACTTCTCAATTTTCGACGCTCTCTCCAGTCTCCAAAGTTTCTCCAATTTCCAAACTCCGGTGAGGCGAGTCGGCGACGACTAACCAACGAGTAACTCAGGCGTCCGGCGAGGCGACAACTACTCTCTAGTCACTCAGGCGAGGACGGAACTCACGTCTCACAAGGTAACGACTAACAATGACTTGTTTTGGGTGCTACGAGTTGTCTGAGTACCCTACTATTAATTTGTTGTAATGTCGACATAAATCCTTTATCTGCTCCTCTCCAATTTTCAAATAATTTTGCTGGTATTTGGTGTAAGTTTTCTCTGGAATCTGGATTATAAATTAGCCATTGTATAGTGGGAAACTGGGAATGCTTACACTGTTGTTACACAGTTTATTTCACTATAAAAAGTGAAAACTTATCAGTTAGCACTTAGCATTGGGCAAAAAATGTACCTTTTCTCCCATTAATTCTTGGATTTAGGGGTGCACCATTCGAAATTCCATGCATAATTTCACCAGTATTCAGTTTTGTGTCAAAAAATCCTATGTCCTGTCGCAAAACAACTCTAATTAGCCAACTGATTGTACTTGGTATTTTTTGCTTGAATAAAGCTGCTTACTCTTTTTTTAGTTCCTTCAAGGCTTCAATAATTCATTGCTTCATTTAGATCTTATAAAAAATAGTTTAATAAACGATTATGACATATCTTTTCGCAGTTTTTGGTGAAAGTATCATGGCTGAAAATGTCATAACTGATAAGGTTGTTGGTGAAAGTGGAGCTTCTAATTCAAATGCAATAGATCAAAGTCAAATTTTTGAGTCTCAAGTAAAGAAAGGGAGGAAAAAAAGATCTCGTGCGTGGAATCATTTTTCTCTCAGAACTGATTCTGATGGAAATGAAAAGGGTGTTTGCAACTACTGTAAGAAAGAGTATTTTGCTGATACAAAAGAACATGGTACGACGTCAATGCTTACTCATATATCCAAATGCCCTAAGATGCCTTATAACATTGATATTACACAATCAAGATTATCATTTCAACCAATGATAGGTGGTAACAAGGGTGATGTAGTTGTTGTTCCATGGAAATTTGATCAGGAAGAGTGTAGAAAGGCCTTGTGTCGTATGGTAATTATTGATGAACTTCCTTTTAGATTTGTTGAAAGAGAAGGTTTTAAACAGTTTATGAGAGTACCACAACCTTGTTTCCACATTCCTTCTCGTACCACTGTGACTCGTGATTGTTTTAATCTTTTTGATGAAGAAAAACATAAGTTGATGGCTGTTTTTAAGGAAACAAAACAAAGGGTGTCTTTAACCACTGATACTTGGACTTCCATCCAAAGAATTAATTATGTGGTCATTACTGCTCATTGGATTGATAAAAATTGGACTTTGCATAAAAAGAATTATCAATTTTTGTCCAATCACTAGTCATAGAGGTGAAGATCTTGTAAAGTCTATTAGTAAGTGCTTACATGAGTAGGGATTGCATCACATTTTCACTGTTACAGTTGATAATGTT